TTCACACTACTCAAGTTGACTTTTTAGGATACATCATTTCAAATGATGGCCTCATGATGGATTCTAAGAAAGTCCAAACAATCATGGATTGGAAGATTCCAAGGACAGTAAGAAATGTCCAATGTTTCTTAGGATTTGCCAATTACTATCGGATCTTCATCAAAGATTTCTCACGAGTTGCAGCTCCACTTACACGCTTGACTAGTAAAGATAAATTTCAATGGAATCAAGAAGCAGAAGCAGCATTTGAAGCCTTGAAGACATCGTTTGTCTCTGCACCAGTCTTATATCGTGTTGACTTTTCCAAGGCATTTTTTATGGAAACAGATGCATCAGATTTTGCCTTGGGTGCAGTTTTATCACAAATGGGAACAGATGAAAAACTCCATCCGATAGCTTTTCATTCAAGAAAATTCTCAGCAGCCGAGATCAATTATGAGATCCACGATAAAGAACTTCTTGCGATCGTGGATTCCTTTCAAGAATGGCGTCATTATCTAGAAGGCGCTTCTAGTCCAGTCACTGTGTATACAGATCACAAGAACCTCGAGTATTTCATGTCAGCACGCGTGTTGAATTGTCGTCAAGCTCGTTGGAGTATGTCTTTGTCAAGATTCGAGTTCATTATCACTTATCGGCCAGGAAAACAACAAGGTTTATCTGATGCCTTATCTAGACGTTCTTATTTTGCACCAAAAGAAGGAGATGCAGCTTTTGAGCAACAAAGAACGGTCCTCTTGAAACCGGAGCAATTTCATCTCCGAGCAATGAAATCAACATTGACTGTTGATTCAACTTTTCTCAAGCAAATCCAGTCCAGTATGTCCTCAGACCCTCTTGTTTATGATATCGAGAATAATTCTTCCAAGTCTCATGATCCTTCTAAGTTTGAGTTCAAGAATAATCTATTATATTTTGAAGGACGCCTATATGTTCCAGAAGGAGAAGCACGTTTACGTGTTCTTCAAGCACGTCATGACTTTCCAGCAGCAGGGCACTTTGGATATAATAAGACTTTGGAACTCATATCAAGAGATTTTTGGTGGCCACAAATGTGGAAGTCAGTCAAAGACTTTGTACAATCATGTGATATTTGTTCAAGATCAAAAATTCCTCGTCATCGACCTTATGGACTTCTTCAGCCATTACCTATACCAGAACAACCATGGTCTTCTGTTTCTATGGATTTCATCACAGATCTTCCAAGCTCAAGATCTTATGATTCTATATTTGTGATAGTAGATCGTTTCACCAAGATGGCACATTTTGTGCCATGTACAAAATCTATCACAGGTGAAGAAACAGCTAAGCTTTTCATTGATAATATCTATCGCTATCATGGATTACCTAAAGATATCATATCGGATAGGGGAACTCAATTTGTGTCAAGATTTTGGAGGACCCTTTTTAAGATTTTAAAAGTGGACATAAAGCTATCTTCGGCTTTCCATCCTCAAACTGATGGACAAACAGAGCGCGTAAACCAAGTCTTGGAGCAATATTTAAGGTGTACTATCAACTACCAACAAGATGATTGGACAACCCTTCTGCCATTGGCAGAGTTTGCTTATAATAATACGGTACATTCTTCCACGCAACAAACACCTTTCTTTGCCAATTATGGCTATCATCCACGACTTGATACTTTTGATTTTTCAAAAGTTGATAATCCTGCAGCAGAAGATATGGCAAATCGGTTGTCAGAGTTACATGCAATAATGAAGACACAATTGAAGGAAGCTCAAGAACGACAAAAGATAAACGCAGATCTATATCGTAAGGAGCAACCACAAATCAACGTGGGTGATAAGGTATGGCTACTTCATCGCAATATCAAGACTACTCGACTTTGTGACAAGTTGGACTATCGTAGGCTTGGCCCCTTTTCTGTTTCTGAACAGATCAACCCAGTTGCATATCGGTTACATCTATCGGAGTCAATGAAGATCCATCCTGTATTCCACATATCTCTTCTTGAACCATATAAGACAGTGGATATACAAGGAAGAAGACAAATGCCACCGCCTCTTATAGAAGTAGATAATAATGAAGAATTTGAGGTGGAAGAGATATTAGACTCAAGGCGGCGCCGAAATAAGCTGGAATATCTTGTTCATTGGCGCGGATGTGATATTAGTGAACGCACATAGGAGCCATCCAGGAATCTAGCAAATGCATCAGCTAAAGTCAAAGTTTTTCATCAACGACATCCATCAAAACCAAGATGAAAATCTCTCTTATAAAAGAGACAAGATTGAGGCAAGATAACATTCAATTTCCTATCCTTGTTTGTAACTTCTTTACATTTGTGACGCTAATTAGATGGAGAGCCAACAACCAGCGGATTCAACTCAAGAACCTTCGTTTGCTGACCTGCCGGACGAGACATTACGATTGTCACAACCTTCAAGACGACGCAATCGAGATGAAGATCTTCAAGAACGACATGTTCTTCCTCGAACAGATGGTGAGATACAACGCGTTTGGTATCATGATTTGGGAAGGGACTCCCGATGTTTGGTGATTTTGCTAGAGGTAGGAACAACTCCTGATGGTGTTCCGAATATTCTATTCGAAGGAAGTTATGAAGGCCTCAATAATGATCAAATAACTGGGTGGTCTTCCCGCCCTGGTATGGGACACTACCGATGGTTGAGAGGCCCTATCAATCATCTTCGAAGAGAACAGAGATCAGAGTATGTGGCGAATGTAATTCGTCGCATCATAGATTTCCTCAACATATGATGACCGCTCCTCGTGGAACTCGTCTCTAGAAGGGGGGGTAATGTCACGGCCATAATCATGTAAGCTAATAATTACATATAGAAATAGGTAGAAGTAAGTAAAAGTAGATAAAAGTAAGTTAATATTTAATATAGAAGCTTCCTAGAAACTTCTTAGATGCTGCTTTGACTTCATAGGTGTCTTTAATTGACTTTTTGGATTAGAAACGTGGTCAACAAGTTGGCCATGTGCCACACATGTTGTTAGCTTGAAGATCAAGCTAACTATGTGGCCCACACGTAGAAAAACTTGCCTTGTAAGTCAAGGCATGTGTCCTACAAAGTCAACACATATTGGAGGTCCTATAGAACGTCGCCACGTAGCCCCTAGTTAGATAGTATATATAGAGATAAGAGTGAAGGCTTCTTCACTCTTGTCAACTCCTTTCTTGCTTCTAGTCCAGGTTCAAGAGTCTTTAGTTTCTTGTCTTGCGGCAATAGCCATTCCAGTTTCCTTTTAATATACCTACTTGTTTATATTTTGACTTATTATATCGAGATAGCCTTTGGTGTATATTTTTCCTCATCAAGTCTTTGTCCTTGATAGTTTGTTTGTTTGTTTTTTTGTTTGTTTTTATTTTTGTTGTTATTGTTGTTGTTGTTGTTGTTGTTGTTGTTGTTGTTTATTTATTTATTTATTTATTTATTTATTATTATTATTATTATTATTATTATTATTTACATTTTTAGACCACAAACAAGAAAATTTAAGGTATATTAGCAAAAATAATACTATAGACATTTTTAGGTAAAAGCACAAAATATGTTTTAGCAAAAATTACTTTAAAAAATCTTAAATTGAAACCTAAAGAGGATTGGTAATAAATCAAGGTTAAAATCAAATTCTAAGGCACTAAACTGCACACATATGGCATATGTAAGATTCTTTATTTAATTAGAGAATGATATTAGAAAAAAAATTTAAGAAAGATCCTACAAGCATTGAATTTAAGCGATTTGAGTTAGTAATGATTTTATAAAAAGCTATGTAATTGGATTTGTGTGATATTGATTTTAAAGAATAAGAATGGATTCATCTTTTTAAGAATTTTGTGAGCTTTTTAGTAAATCTACAATTATTATTTTATAGATTTGTAAAAATTTGGTTTGAATTCAAGTTTAATTGATTAAAAAAATTAAAAAATATTAGAATTTAAGTAAATTAGACTATTAGTGATTTAAGAGTTAGTAAACATTTCTAAGGTTATTAACAATTTTTTTTGTCAAATTGAAAAATAAATATGGTGATTTGGTATTTAACTTATATTCCAACATCTATGCAAATTTGAGAGTAAGTTATTTGTAAAAAGTAGGAGATGTTGGCATTGGGAGCTCAATATCAAGGTAATATAATAAAAATGTCTAATTCCTAAGCAAATTACGTGTCTTTTTTTAATTTGTAAATTTTATTCTTTTCAATTTTTTAGAGGTTGTTGTTAATTAAAAGATTCATATGTATATAAAGTTTAGATGAAAATTAATGATTATTTTAAAAAGTACCAAGGTTTTTATTTTGGTATAGAATTGATTTATAATAGATTAAAATTTGATTAGAATTACTTCAAGGTTTAATCAAGATATTTTAAGATTCAATTAAGAGATACTTCGGATTTTGTTAAGATTGATAGGTTTATTTTTGGATTTAATAAGGGATTATTTAAGATTTATTTCGAGTTGATTAGAGTTCAATGAGATGTATCTAAGATTTCTCTAAGGTTGATAGGATGTACTTATGACATTTTGGAGCTTGCTTAGGTTGTTTAAGATTGCCAAAAAGTCATTTTAGCCGAGATTACGCTTGTTACCTTCCTTAGATGTCTAATGTATTCCTAAGGTAAAATTCACATTATACACCAACATTAGAAATTTAAGTAGATTACTCATACAGAAAAAGAAGAACAGTAAAAAAAAAATATATATGTGTAATTTATTCTTATTCTTATTATAGGGTGTTAGAAGAATGAATGTTCTTTCCTCCACAGAAGTAAACCACTAAACCATAAGATAAGTCATTCATTATGGATTAGCATGGAAAGAGAAGAAGGAGGCGGTTGTTCCGAGGGGCTTTGGCCCCTGTGACAAAATCCGCCAGACTCACGTCAGCCCAAGTGGCGCCGTGCTCGCGCGTCTGTTCCCTACCGCGTTCCCCTCCCTTCCTCTTTCTCTCTGTGTGGTCCCGCTTGCATATCTTGCGCGGTGCGCGGTGCGCGGTGGCGGTGCGTCGACTCCGGCTGCCATGGAGTGAGTTAGTGATGTTGCTCTCTGGGCTGCCTCATGGCATGACATGGCATGGGGGGACGCCTCACGGATCCTCGTAGTAGCTTCTCTCCTTGCGCCTCCTCCTCCTCCTCCTCCTCTTGTGTCATTTTCCCTTGCTCTCCCCCATGCATGGCTTCCTCCGACGTCCCTCCTCCCGCCTCCGCTGCACTCCGCGATGATGATGACCCTCCTGTCGCCACCCACCTCGCGCCCTTGCAATCATCCCCCACCTCGCTCCCTGACATGGGCCGCCAGAGCGCTTCGCCTGGGCTCACGGCAGCTCAACCAGACGTGCTCTCGTTTGGGTCTTCCTCTTTAGTGTGGCCTTCCGTGTCAGATTCTGATGATGAAGGTGAAGGAAACCAGGATGCAAGTGTTGCAGGAAGCCGGGTCATGTATCCTGAGGTTTGTGGCGATTCCGATGCGGAATCGTGTCGTCTAGCAGGTATGTTTTTTGAAGATGTGAAAGCCGGAGACAAAGAGCGGGAAATTTTGGAAGAAGATGTGGGGGATTGTGCTCCTGTTGAAGTTTATGACGTTGTGGAAGATGCCCTGGATGAGGATGTTTTAGAAAAGTTGAGGACAGATTCTCGCGAACAAGACCGATTTCTTGATGAAGTCGGTTCCATGCTATCTGCCGATGAAGCAAAGATGCTCCGACCAGGCGCAATCCATAATTCGTTTGAGGACGAGTCGAGCTCAGTGACTACATCTAACGTCATTGTTAGGGACGAAGTTCCTGGGCACACGACACAAGGACTATCTGATGACTGGCTGGGAGCCGATGATGCTACAAGCTCATTAAATACTCTCGGAAAGGAAACGAATGACTTGGAGCATGATACTCTTGATTCAACCTCAAATTCACGAGGGATGGGTTCGAAAAGAGTGTACACGTTTCCTAAAAGGCAGGATGAGGTACTTGCTGCAGCAGAGGAAGTGGGGAGTCAGGTTCTTTTGTGGCCAGTTGGGATTGCGATTGAAATTATAGGGTTTCAAGTGAAGCTTATACTGCAGACAGTCTATTTTTCTCTTTGGCTTTGTGGTTTCAGCATATCAGTGATCACATTTCCGTTTCGCGCAGCCATGAAGGCGACAAGCGTAACCTCGGCTACCGTCGTTGACATGTACACCCTTGCTACACAAGTACGACCCATGGTAAAGGAAAATATTGCCCAAGCAGGACCTATGCTGAAGCAGACAACGAAGAGATGTGGATTCGGATGTCTCGCAGCAGTTTATGTCATGTTTATGTTAGGGTTCCTCCTCGTTCCGGCCGTTCTTCTCGATATCATTGTTATGCACGGGCTTGTGGACGAACCGGTGGAGTTTCGCCAGATCCTGCATTTCGACTACAGGGAGGTAACGGCATTGCTAACCATTCCATGTGAAATATTCATTTACAGTACGGATGTTCACTCACGATCCTGTGATAGGGGTGAGTATTGGAAGGGAAGGCACCAATAACGTTCTAAAGAATCAAAGACGAGTACACTCGAGTTTAGCTTTGAATGGCCTGGGCAACGGTGTTATGGCAACTCAGCTAGGTTTCGCATAATGCCTCTTTTTGTTCAGCTTTAGAACCAGTTCGCAATCGATCAGCAGCTTTTTAGTATACACAGCACGAATCTCGAAGTTATTGTTGTCCTGTACAACCTTGGCACTTACTAGCGCCCCTGAAATAACTGAAGCAGGAGCATCCAAGCGCAGTCATGTCTCTTCTGCCTCCAACAATTCTCGCTAAAGTTAAAGGCGATGTATACCCTAACAAAGTGCTGCGAGCTCATGCAATACCCCCTTCACACGGCGTGGAGGTCACCATCTTCCTGAGTCTTCCAGAGTCCGACTACAATCAGCAACTTGGAATGTTTCAGGTTTGCATATCGAATTCTCCCTGATGTCGTAAGACTGAAAGTGGTTTTGATAGATGTTTCACGATATCAACTGTAATTGTTGGAGTGTTGATGAGTCGCAAGTGTCAGGAGTAAACATTATAGCTTGTTTGTCACAGTAAGTGTGTTCGTGGTTTACAGGTAAGCGCAGAGTTGCTGACAGTAAGGGGTCAAGTTCTAAAACGAGCAAGCTGGCCTTGCATGTTGCGTTTCCAAAGCTCTCCAATACGGTATGCTAAGCATGTGATCCTTGGGGTTCCTCTAGTGATGGGACTATCGAAGGAGTCGCAGATGCTCGGTCTGCGATTGTTTGAGAATGAGAAGACCCTTTCAGCTCCGGTGGCCATGGTGAGATTTGTATTAGAGCCGAGGGCAGGTTTCCCAAGAGGACATGGGCTACCGGAAGTGTACTCTGCGGAGGCCCAAGTGCAATCAGTGCTACCATGGACAAGGGACCTCCTGCGTAGATGGAAATGGACGTTCTATGTGTGGAATGCTCTCTGTATCTTCATGTTTGAAATTATGGTTGTCCTCTGTTGCTGTCATCAAGTATTGTTACCAACAAGGCTCCTTCAGGCCATCACCGAAGGCTTCAGAGAACCACAAGTAGTCTCTGTAAGAGACACCCCTTCTAAGAGGACGAGCAAGTCTGGTCGCCGTGTTAACTTCTCTGACGAGCTGCCTGTTGCTCGAGCGACACTGGAGCCTTCCAAGGCGCGAGAGCCCCAGTTTAGCAGGCCCGAATCCACCAGCTCACTCACTGGTCCAAGATTGCAACGCCTTCCACGCCAATCCAGTGACAGTGAGGATGCCAGCTCCGAAGCCACCAGCAGCTGGATTGCACCACCGTTGGAAACCTTGGATTATGTGGGTGGCATGGTCGAAGCTGCAGAGGAATCAGTAAAGGATTTAGGGGAGACGGCAGTAGATGGTGCTAGGAGAGGTGTGGGCGCTGCTTTGCACAAAGTCGGAAAGGTTCTGGATCAAAACTAGAGACTCAATTTTGATCACAGGAAATTATGACCAAACAGTGCCTATAAGTAGTATGAAATCGAATTGTATAAACCTAGTGTTTGCAAGAGATCTGTATAGAGTCCTTCATGCCTCTAGTTAGATTTGGATCAGTACAGCAGAAAATGCCGCATGGTTGTGGATAACCAATGTGGAATGCATGATAATTCCACTACCATTTCACGACAAGCTGAATTTTGTGTTTCTTATCAGGACAACCTATCTAACCTGCAACTTGAATATATGCTTTGAGTACAGTTCTAGGTCTTACAGTACAGATGTGAGTTCTTTGTCAAAAGGATACTTTAAGTACAGAAACTTTTAGGTAATGTAGAGTTGTTACTTCTAACAGTGGAATAGCTACCACTATGATTGCTTTAATAATCAAAACAATCGAGAATTGCAGAAAATTTTAAGATTGATGATTAGGACGTTGAATTGCTTGTTTTTACTTTAATAGAACAATTATGTGTTTGTGGATGATTTACAATTTTAGATTTGGTTGTGCTTGTAATTTTGACTACGAGCATATTATATCTTTGATTGAAATTTAATTTCAAATGATGAAATATGAAAGTGATAAACTAAAAGATGAAAGATCTTCAAATATATATGGTGTTTAATTACATGCATTTAATTCAGTTTGGTGTTTATTGAAGAATTATTCACAATCTAAAAAAATCTAGCAGCTTGAAAAAAATCATGTTCTTAGTTTTCTAAAATTGTGTGTATACATGTGTTTGATATTACATCTATTCTTGAGATTTATTATTTATTTATTACTTATTTGAAGATCTCTTATCTGTTTGAAACACTAGGATTTTCCTACAAAATCTTGAGTGAATTTCGAGTTTTGATAATCTGTTTACTTATAAACTACAGACAATTGAGAGACTGTATGTTTAAGCTTTCGTTGTCACAACTAAAGGATGTTAATAATTATTTTTTAATCAAGATGCTTACTTATTGAGAAAAAAAGAAAAAAAAGAAAAAAACTTCAGTGCAACATTAGCATTTGTTGATGCAAAAAGAATTTAATAACATAATAATAACCAAGAAAAAGTATACTTTTAACTATTGAAAATATTTATTCGCTATAATATGCCAATTTTTTACGAAAAAAAATAAAAAAATAAATTATACGTGGGTAGATATAAAATTTCAAGAATTTTGTCAAATTGCTAAAAAGTATTAGTTTCATTTTAAAATAAAATTTTGACTGTAGGTTTGCTAAATAATATTGGCATCATTTCAGATGTATGCTGTAAGCAATATGCGATACACTAAATCGGAAGGGAGCAATTTCATATTGATGCTTTACTAGTTTAGCAGCATCTATTTCAATAATCCCCAAATTTGGGCATGGAAGTAATTTAAACAAGAGTTGGTGATCGGAGCTGCAAAGTGGGAGTTCATGCAAGCGGAGGTGGCAAAAGGGGGCGGAGTCGATCCGAGCTGGCAATAAAGGCCGAGCTGGATCCGAGCTGGAAAGGCCACGTAGGAAAAGGGAGGGGTGGGTATGAGGAGGTGGCCGCAGTCCCTGCCAGCCACCGGCTGCGCGGGGACGAAGAGGGGGGCCATTGCAGATGAGGCACCATCGCGGAGTCCCAATTCTCCATGGATCCATCTGCGCCATCTCTCCGACCGACCTTATGCGTAGCGGGGGACGCCGATGCTGTTGTTGTTGTTGTTGTTGCTCCTCTGTTGTAGAGCCGCTCAGCTAGAGGCTTTCGTGTGCTCTCACTGCTCGGCATACCTTGGGTAGGGCAATAAATTCGAGTGCACTCCGTGCATTTTCTTCTCTTGTTTTGGGTTTTGTAAATCTTCTTTTTGTCCGACGTTGCATGGTGAGGTCGTGCCGAGTTTATGGGTAACGAGTAAATGATTTCATCTCTTTCCCGTAGACTTGTAATGTTCGAGTAGAATTTTTCTAGTTCGTCAAAGTGGCAATACATGTGAGGATTGAGTTTACAGCTCTGTGATGCATATTGGACTGTCTCGTGACTCCTGTGAGGCATTGGCTTATTACAGATGCGGCGTAGAGCAACATCGTTTTGGGATCCAAACTCGAGCTCGAGAAGTGATCTCTTCATGGAATGATAAAAGTGCCCCAGCTGTCTACATTTTTGAGATTTTAAAGCCTTAGTGTTTTTGTGGGCGGTGGTTGAATTGAGACATTGCAAGCTGCGATGGTGTTAGCAGTTTCGCCCGCGGTGGCTTCCTTTTCGGGTACCGCTGCGGCAATTGGCACGCGATCTAGTGGTGGTGAGCGATTTTCTGTGGGATTCTCTTGCTTGCCGTTGTGGTTGTGGTTTGAGGTTTATTGACAGAGTGAGCTAAAGACAATCCCTGAGCCCAGTTTCGGTATGTAACTTTTACGTCATTCGGCAGGTCTCGGTATTGCAGTTCGGAGAGCCGAAAGCGAAACAAGACTATATTTTCGAAGAGGAATAAGGTCAGAGGGGTGGCATGGTAGATGCTCAATTGCTTTACTACATCAGTATTTAATTCTTGTTCACAGTCTAGTCTTATCTTGCTGCCCTGATGTGAGCAGGTCCTCACATTTGCATCATGTTGATCCAGTGGTCTCCTCGCGCGGTTTTTCCTCAAGCGAGGGTATGCTATTCTCCCTCTGGTTCCATTCATGTTTTGTTTGTAGAAGAATATGGTTTATTTGATTTGAGATACGGACAAGCAATCTTTAAGAGGTAGTCCTCCAATTGACTCTTGTATCACAAGCCTACAAAACCTAAGCGATTACATCAACGAAGTATGACAATGTTAGCGACATCATCTCCGTGGAATAGGTCTTACCAAAATGTGATTGCTGCAGTATATCCCTGCACATGATTATTCTCCTTTGTACTTGTATCTGCGTAATTGCTTACTTTCAATGGACATGTATCCCGTTTGTATTGACTTCACATGCATACTCTCTGGATGGCACAGCAGACTCGTATTTAGCCTGTAGCTGAACACCGTCACTTAGGGCGTTGGGGGTTGATGTCTTCACGAAGCACCATTATTGTAAATATAATACCATTCAACTTGCATGCATGATCTAATTACATGTATTTGAGCAGGACGGTCAGTTCCTACATGCAGTGCAAGTCAGGAGGTGGCTGCCACGGCCGAGAGTGCTGTGGCAGGTGAGGTCACACAGTTTTCAGAGCTGGCTCAAGCAAAAGTACTATCGATCGTGGGTGCTGGAAGCGTTAGCCCCTTTAATGGCAATTCTTGGGAAGATGTCATGCGGCACATGGTACACACTTCATGGAAGAATTTTTCCTCCCAAGCTCGTCCTCTTAATTGACATAGGCATTGTTTCTCGTCAAGGTAGCATTGTCACATGCTGTCCTCGTTCATCTGTTTCTTCCAGCCCTTTGGATATTAGTTTACTAGTCATTGGTGCGTTCGAAATGAGCAATTCATCGGTTTTTTACCAGGATTTCATGGTTGCTGTTTTCAGGCACAACGGATTGGATTCATCGATACGAATTTCGAGATGTTGGTTCTTACTGAGGAAGCTTTTCTCGCCGAGGGCAAAGAATTTGATGCAGATGTTGCCATTGTCATAGCTGTCAGAGACGTGGAAGTTGCGGAGCAGCTACAGAAACGCTATCTCCAGAATGTGCCGACTCTAGTTTCTTTTGATTCAGCCCCTAACTTTGAAACTCGGTTGGGCAGCTTAAAGGTAAAGCCTGTCGACCAAGTTGAGAAAATGCTTGGGTCGTTTCCAGGAAGCAAGAGAAAAGACGCTATGAAGGTTCTAAGTTTAGTGGAGGAAGCTTGGGAACGGAAGAGCAGCGATGATGTCCGGTTCGCGCTGCTTGTGCTCATTGATTCATATGTGACTCCGGTGACCTTACTGAAGAACCTTCGTGCAACAAGTTTAGCATCCGTTCAGTGTATGGTGAAAAACTGTCGATCTCAGATTTTGTCCTGTATCCTGGACCCCAATTGTCGCCAGGCCCTCAACTGTCTGCAGAGTTGTGCACCGACGGACCAGGTGTGCAGCTATCGATGTATAGTCTCATATGAAAGCGAAAAACTTGAGGCATTTACACTGTGCGTATTACAGAAGCACAACTGCCTCGGTCTCTCTGCAGATATTTTAATGCAACCGGACGTGCAGCCAATGAAACTTTTCCGTGGTAATCCTGTGACTCACGAAATCGCGGAGGATTTGTTCATTGGATGGCTTGGACGTCCGAACCCGGATTCTTTAGCGACACCCTTGAAGTACAGCTGGAGAGTGGTTGCTGGACAAAATGCAGCCTATGATCAATTCCCCTGTCAATTTCAGATATTCTATCGGGGGAAAGCAAAGGGATCCATGTGGTATGACCCCGTATTCCAGGTACATAAACTCCTGCTGTCCCCATCTTTGGTTATCAATCCCTTACTGCCTTATTGCAGGATCATCGGATGCCTGTAGGTTCTCTCAATTGGCGGGGAAGGCTGCACATGAGGACTCTGCTGTAATTCATTGTTATTCAAGTTGCTTACCTCGGGACAAATATGTTGATGGCAAACCTCGCAACTTGTTAAAAGCCGTGAACAGTTTGTCAGAACAAAAACCTGAGCTTTACATTCAGAAGTCAACATGGATTGTAAGAGAAAGCCTTACCCCGGTTGTCTAATTTTCAGGTTCAAACTCTAGACGGAAAACTGGTGTGGAGGCGGCGGCATTACCGCGTCAAGCGCGACGTTGTGCCAGGCACCTTCTACTTCACCGTCCTCGACAATGGTGTGATTTCCAAGGAGTTTTGGCGCATTGTGGATGTGAAGGACGATTTATCATGGGGTTTATTCTACTATAGTGGAGCTGCAGCCGCTGCTGGGCAGTCATACACGGGTGCCATACTCGTGACGCAGGATGGGTCATGGCCCCCTGAGAGCGAGGCTATACGGCTCAATTCTGCACTTGATAAATGTGGAATCAAGGTTTGGGAACTGTACCGAGTGAACAATGCTGGCTGCTCAAATCCACCCCTTAGCATCCCTGAAGGCTCTTCGTTGCACTCAGTAATCACTTGAGACCGGGAATTAGTCAGGTTCTCGCTTATCGCTTGTATATACTGTATGTTCGAAAGTGAAAAACGAATCAATTTTGTCAACATTTAGTTTGCTCAGATTTCAGAGGAGTAGAGTGGTTTCTTTTTTTTTCTCCTTATGCCATCTATGTGGTAAAGACAAAAAGCAGCGTACAGTATTGATTGCTGTTGGGTGGAGCATACAAATATCAAGATGTATCGTATTTCGAAATATCATTGTGATATTTTGGCAGTGTCTCGACTTTTTAGTTGTGAACAGTTACTGCATGCGCCATTGCAAGTGTGTTTGGAGCTATCTTGTCCAATCTATTTTTTAGTCACTCACACATGCTAGGAATGCAGTTTATTAAAGTGTTCAAAACATAACAGTTTTCTATTTCTCTGATGTCTTTAATTCGACTATTTCTCTAAATGTTGAGATTTGCGAATAAAACCGTACATGCTAGTAAGTACGAAAATATATACAGTCAGGCACCATCTCAAAGATTGCTCTCCATCCAAAATTCTCTACTACAAGAGTGTGAATGAAGTGATATCACTGTTAGAAACCTGTACAAAAATGTTCAGATCAGTTACTTTGGCTATTCATTGAGAGGCTGCTTGCATTGTTCAAGGTCCACAAGCAATGGGAGCTTGACTGTTGTGCTTCGTTTCCAGACATGATGCACCCGGTGAACAAGGCTGAAAACCTGGTTGGGGAGTCACTAAGTGGAATGAATTTGAGTGGAGGATAGATAAGCAGGAGTAAGCAATACCTTCTTTCTGTTAATCAGAATTTGAAGATAGATCATATCACGCTATTCCTCAATGACGCTGCATGATGATTACTTTCAACATAATCTCCATGATAAAAAAACAAGTTACTGGACATATATTTTGTCAAATTTAAGCAATTTATGTACTTGTGGTATATGATTGAATTGCTGCTACCGTGGTTATTTGGTGATAATGGTACATGTTTCATTTATTGAGTATGAGCGTGTGTTTTTGATATTCGTATCTACCCTCCAAAAGTACAATTATGTTGTTTTCTTTCCATAATTGGAAGTTTTCTTGGAATGCTTAGATATTAAGAAAACACAAAAATGATTTATTTTTATCTTTATCTTCAAATAAAAAAGGTTTTACAAAATAATCAACTTGGTTTAAGTTAATTGGTTTTTAAAAAGCAATATAGACTTAAACATATATTAAAAACAATTTGGAGTCAATAGTAGTTTGTATATATATGCTCAATTATTTTACATATATTCTTATGATATGTGAATAACATTGACTTTTTAAAAGAATGGCTTTAGTAATGTTTTTCATTTTGTAGCATGAAAAACATATTTTATTATTAAATTAATCAAAGTTTTTGGAAGTATCACTATAAGAAAACTTCAGCAATTAAGATATTCTTTAAAATAAGATAGGATTTATTTTAAAGAATATAGTACATATATACATACATACATACATATTAGTAAAAAAGATTGAACATATAAATAAGCACATTTGTTTTTACTATGTACTTATATATATATATATATATATACATATATATGTAAATTTTATAGTAAAATTGGTCTAATTTGTCTTTAAAATATTTTTGTTGATGAAATTTATAATTACTACAATATACTTCAATTTTGTATAAGATTTATGAAGCTAGAGCAGTGAAATAAATTCAAATGAAAAAATATGAACATATTTATCAAATTTAAATATTACACACATATAAATAGATCAAATTTTACTTTATAATAAAAGTTGTAGTATCATACAATTGTATAGTACTACTAAAGATTGTCAAGGTTAAGGACCTCAAAGATTTTGTTAATGGCCTCCATTATGCTCTTATCTTCCAAACTCTAAAATATAATACCTACTTCACTTGCACTAATCACACATAATATGGTTAGTATTGCATAAAATTGTTACCTTAAATCAATATTTAAATTACTGATGATAGTTTCTACCACTAAATTCTTCTGTTAGTGACTGCCAATATTTTAAATTGCAATGTATTGGTGGTGGTCTCTACCACTTATTTTCTCCAACAGTGTTTGTCACCACTTTATGCCCATTTCTCATTTCCTATTTCCTTTAGTGGTGATCGTCACCACATTGTGTCTATTTTCCATTACCACTTAGTGGTGATTGTCACTACTTTATGTCTATTTTCCATTTTTCCTTAGTGGTGACTATTTTCCATCCATTTCACACCCATTTTTTATTATATATTTTTCTTTGGTAGTTAAATCTATGCCTTTTATTTATTTATTTGTTTATTTGACTAACCCATTTTTTTCAAATATCTTGCCTTGGTGGTAACAGTCACTGCTGTATGTATGTATCTATATAAATATATATATATATATATATCTTTTTGCTGTTCTTGTCACCATCATACACTAGAAGAGTGCACTACTCCACTAATAGTGAGTTTTGTGGAATTACAACTAGCTAATGTCAATAAAAATAAATAAGATAAATTAACATAATTTTGAATAATTTTGAAATAGTTAGGTAATTAAATTTTTTTAGTATAAATAAGAAATTATTATTAACTTTAGATTCACTTCTATTAGAAACAGATAAAATAAAAACAAAAGTAAAAAAATTTAATTAAAATAATAATAATAAAATAAAAAATTACATAGAAATAAATTGAATTGAAATAAAATTATCACAATAGGAGGTTAGGTAAATTACGTCGTTCAGAGTTTAGGGTTTAGGGTAAATTACGTCGTTCTCGATACGCACTCGCCATATAGGCGAAGCGAAGGAGTAATGCTGTATTTCCGAACCCAGAAGATGGTTTCACTGCCTCTGTTTTCATCCCCTGGAGAAGCGCGGATTCACAACTGAGCTTGTGTGTTCCACGTCGTTTTTCAGGAATCAGGATTGAAGGTACGCATTATCGCCCACCTGGGATTTCGAAATACATTGCTTTAACTCTGAAAACTTGGGTCATTGATTTCTTGTTGTCCAGTTGAGCTGTGGAATTTTTTGACGATTTCTTTTTAGTGCGGAAGGCTTCGTCTCGTGATTCGGGGTTGAAAGGAATGCGAATGCCTCGGAGCTCATTCTCGCACCTGTTAATTTGTATGATGTTAAGTACGTCTATATTTCTATGCATTAAAGATGACCAGCACTTGCAGCATGTGACGTCGAATTTGCAAAATTAGGTCCTCTCGTCGATGTATACTAGGAGTTCCTTTTGTTGTCTGTTCCTCGGAGGCACGAATACCAATGCTTACTTTCATGTAATTAATGTACTAAAACCTTGATCTGTTAAAATCACAGAAAAATAGTGACTGTTTATAGGATTTTCCTTATGAAATGGTAATGTGCGTGATCATAACTAGCTGAGCAAGGCTACTTGGTGCTCATGACATTATAGGATCAGAAACGAAGAGCTAGCTAACTCTAAACCTCTGCTATTGGTGCGCCAATATTGCAACCGAATGATTGAATGACATGTATTTTTTTGCTCAGACCCTCGTGTCATGTGCCGACACAGCAATGGGGAGAGCATGTGGTCGAACCTTTGCACTGTCTTTCCTGGGTGTAGTCTTGCAGCTTGCAGGCCTTGTACTCTTTGTTCTGGGCTTTTTCCCGGTTAAACCGGCACTCACAGGCAGCAGGCAAGCATCTTATCCATTGCTAGTTCATGGTAATCTTCCTTGATTAGGATATTTTTAAGCAATGTAGGCCATTCCTTTGAAATCATGGTGAGTTTCAGCTCTCTGTTTCTGTCTATATAATCGACTTAAACTCACTCCTTACCTCAATGCAATGACAGGTTCATTCATTAAGTACTTACAACCTTATTCTCACATGATCGATTTCCTAGGTTCCTTGCAGTGGTCTTGAAAGTGCCATGCCGAGCTGCCACACGAACCCTCACGTCAGTGATGAAGAATTCTCTCAGGTGTCGCGGGTTTCCTATCAGGTTCAGTCTTTCTTTATCTAAGATGATCTTATGCTGGACTTTGAGTGGCGTTTTCTGCTTCTATTTATTGCTGTTAAATCTGCTCTGGTTTTATGATTGACTTGTTTATGGAGTAATCGCTACTAGAAGCTCATCTTTAGGTGCAGAAGCGCCAGAGTATCTGTTCTCAGAATTATACTAGGAAGATTTTACCCTTACATTTGCGAAAACTTCGCCTCTGATGTTGTAGTCATCAGAGAAACCTGTCACCGTACATGAAACACGACGAAATAACAATTTTCCGTTCCATGCCTGGTAAGTACACCTTTTGAAAGTCGTCTTGTAATTACCAGGAAGCAAGTGGTGTTCCTCGACAATTCGATCGTCTTGTCATTATGGTACTTCCCCTCTCTGACCAATTCCTGGTCCTGTTCATTTATTTAGATGTGTTTGGCGGTCACTAAAGACTTGTTGATACACTACTATTATTGTTGGTTCATCGATAACACCATTGTTTGTTGGGAATAGATTGTGGATGGCATGCCTGCAGAATTCGTACTTGGTAGAGGGGGTCATCCTTCACTTCCTGAGTTGGTTGCTGCCATGCCTTTTACGCATAGTTTAATATCGGCCGGGAAGGGCCTTGGATACCATGCTAAAGCTGCACCCCCGACTGTAACCATGCCTCGTCTCAAGGTAAACATGAGAGCCGTGTCGATTATTAAATTAATGGAATCCTATCTGTCGGAAGTGTTCACTGTGCTGATATTAAATGAAAAATATCTACCGGCTGTATCTGCCTTGCTTAGATGGCTTAAACACAGGACAGAACCCATGTGCGAAATGCTTTATGTATCACTGGAATCGTTCTATATGCCGCTAGTCTGTGTGCGTTAATGAAGACTTCTGGAGAAACCATGTCGCAAAATTTAAGTATACATGTAATATGTGTTATTGTACTGGGTATTTTGGGTAGGCGATGACATCTGGAGCCATAGCTGGATTTCTGGATGTGGCATTCAACTTCAACACACAAGCCTTACTTGATGATAATCTTGTGGGTGAGTTTACTACCATTTTATCGGTTTTCACCAGGTCTAGGATCCCTGAATCAAGCCAATGCAGGTACTTTACTGCATTCAACAGAATCCTTTTGTGGCCTGCTTATGTTCAGTCATAATTGCATGTCTGAGAGACGGATTACCGTGGACAATGGACTAGACCAATTGGCAAGAGCAGGATGGAAAATGGTCATGCTGGGGGATGACACGTGGCTGAAGCTCTTCCCGGACAAATTCATGCGCTATGATGGTGTCAACAGCTTTTTCGTAAGAACTCGACTTTACGAACATCTACCTAAGATTTGTGTCCATTCCCTTATCTGATTTCTTATCTGTGCATAACACTTCTTTGAAGTTGTCAACATTGGTTTCAGTTATGAGCACTATTTTGCTAGTTAGTATTTGCTTTTGGTTATCTGTATTGATCTAGGAAACTCAAATCTTGATTTTACTGCTTGATAACTGATATTTTCAGGTGAAAGATACTGTGGTGGTGGATCACAACGTTACCCGCCATTTGAATGTAGAGCTCGCAGCCACTGATTGGGATCTCTTGGTACGAGTGTCCTCCACCAGATGGTTATTAATATTGAAACCGTGAAGTTGGTGCCAACTGAGTTGGAAACGATGAATGTATTAGATGTAGACTCATTGCACTGTAGACTCATGTAAAGAACTAACAGTTTATCCTGGATACAGGTGCTTCACTATCTTGGGCTTGATCACGTTGGTCACCTTGGAGGTCGTAGCAGGTAAATTTCCAGCTAATTCTTTGCACACCGTGGTTTGTTGTGTTGGTTATTTCTACCGTGGTGATTATGTTGGTCATTTTCTGAAGAGTGAAGAACCTTTTCAAGACTAGGTTTCTTTGTATGCATGAGTAATTTGCTAGATCCTGTCGATTTTCTTTTTGCTACCCAGCTCTCATGTTCTGCTGCTGGTGATCATGTTATTCCACTCCAGCTCATTGGTGGCGCCTAAGTTGAAGGAAATGGATGACGTCATTCGAAGAATCTACGATAAGTTGATTAAGACTTCGGGTGACCGTCGTACTCTACTGGTCTGTAATACTTTCTTAGTTCTGTATTTTAGATTCGATGATTACGTGAGTTCATTATGTTTATTTCTCTTTTATACATGGATTAAGTTGCTGATGTACTACAGAGACTTCCCCTTTCTTGCAGTTTCTAACCACTAAGATCATGTCCGTTTATTATGTTTTCATCAGATGATGAGGCATTATCATGTTTTATGCTACTTGCTAATAGAAACTGTGATTTTTGTGTGTAGTTGGTAGCCAGTGATCATGGTATGACAGAAGGTGGAAACCATGGTGGTGCGTCGTATCAGGAAGCAGATGCTCTAGCTTTATTTATTTCAGAAAGTGATTCTATCAACATGTTTATGGACAAGAGGCAACACGAATCTACCTTAAAGCAAAACAAAGGTGTTGCCACTTCCTCTGCCTGGCCATCGTTCCAAGTAGATGTGGTGCCAACATTGGCACTACAACTGGGTGTTCCAATACCAAAAAATAGCGTTGGAGCTCTGCTTCCTCAACATTTTTCTTCACTGACTTGTGAGTTACTGCTTACTTTTTATGTTCTCCAAGCTAAATTGATCAGTTCTATTTTTATTTTCTTGTAAGACTGTCTTCTTAAAGAGAAGGCTCTAGAGTCTTCGCTCTTCTGAATCGAAACGGAGACTGACTGGCATTTTCTATTAACAGCTTCACACCTGCTAGCGAAGATCTTGCCAGTCTGTTTGTGTCAGTAAATCGCTCCTTTTAGGGTTTATCGCAAATATTATCACCCCTGATTTGCACTTAATTTTATGCACTTTTGAATTATATTGAACCTCGACATAAACATGAACTTGAGTACCATGACTGTAAAATTTACATTGATGCACGCATAACCTACTAATCAATCTTCATCGTTATGCTTTTTAGGTTGCAGTTGCTACAGGTCTGTTTTTTGCTATGAGTTTCTATGTATATCTTACTGAGTATTCTTGCAACAGCCAAGGAACAGCTGCGAGCATTGGAGTTGAACGCTTGGCAACTTTTTAATCTGGTACATGTGCGGTCTCCAAGGTCCCAGTGTGTCAATGACCTTTGCTCAAATACATCTGGAAATGTGGATGGTGGATCCAACTCCGATTTTTCAATGAGTTGGAGAACAGAGAAAGACAAGGAGGTGGAAGTGTTTTGTAAGCTCTTCATGCAAGCAATTCAGCTCCACTCTTCTTGGAGGCATATGGATAACGACAGCGTAATCAGGTAAAATATTTCAAACGAATGTATTTTGTGGGACAGCGTTATCCCTTCGTTTTCTGGTTCTCCTTAAAGTATAACGAACACATGCTCTGTGGGTACACCTTCTGATACTGAACTCCTTGATTGCATGTGGTTGTTTTAACCAGTGAAGCCAAAGGATTTAGTGAATTTGAAGCTGCAAGAGACGCATATTTGAAGATGCTGAAGTCTACTTCAGAGTGGCTTGCGAAGGGCACAACTGAGGTCAGTTTCTTCTCCCTTTGAAAATACATCCTAGCGGCTGTTCATATATAGCTATATTTTGTGTGGTTAGTTTATGAGCTAACATGCCTTTGTCTTTTTGATCTTACAGAAGAACATCCTACTTCTTCTATGTGGTGGAATTTTAATGCTGCTTTCACCTGTAATTCTTTTCTCGACACTTCTCTCAATTTGCGAAGCCAAGTCGGAGAGGAATCAGCTGAAGATTAACTCCCCTAATGTTGATGCCTCGGGTGATTTTTTGTTTGAGAAGTTGATAGTGATTGGGGGTGTCTGTATCCACGCTGGGAGCTTAGCATCATCTTCATTTGTCGAAGAGGAACAGTATACATACCACTTTTTGGTTTCCACTTTGTGCATTGCTCTCTTTCGACACGTACTACAACAGCCTTTTCAACTGTTGCCAGGGTCAAGTCAAAGACGAGCTCAGGCAAATGATTATGGGAAGTTCTCAGATAGCATACAGAGGGCTACGTTCACTAAAGTTTCATCTGGGGATGGAGATAATGCAGCAAGATTTCTTGCTGTGTCTGTGATTCTTTTAAGTGGAAGAATAATACGGGCATGGCACCGCAGTGGGGTGAATTGGGCACACCTACCCGATATTGCAAAATGGCTAGACGCAAACGACGTGCAGATTTCTACTGCTCTTAGATACACAGCGCTTCTTTTCACAACTACAAGTAGCTGTCTGTTTATTCTTAAATCTTCTCGACGACATCTTCTACGGAAACTGATAGCCTGTTGCTTATGTTTATCCGCTACATTGATATTTGTATATGTGGATTCAGAATCCCATCAAGTACCCACGTTGTTTGGGACAACATCATACCCGGAACAAGTGCCTACTTTGTTGGCTCGTTCGGTGTTTCTAATACTTGGGGTAACTGCTGCACTTGCGGTCACTCTTATGCCTTGGATTGAACCACTTCAGTTTGATGAGGACACAAAGACGGCTAGCTATCCCAGTCAGGAAATCAAGAGAATGTGGGTGGATTTTCCTCTGGAAACTGGCATAACATCAGCACTGCAGTCGACAGGACAAGTTTTAATCTCCTGTTGGTGTTTGTTACAACTACTTCTACAGCAGACTGTGAATGCTGGACCAGTAGCGTTGCTTCTGATACAGCTTCTGGCCACAGTCACATTCTTCAGGCGAAGGAGCAACAGATATGAGCTGTGGTTTCAGGTATAAAACATTCTGGAAAAGGTTTGTGTGTTGTGTCGTTGCATGAATATGTTTCAAACCATATCACGTAACAAGAGCTATCGTAGCCCCCATGCAATACAAGCCTAAATGGCTGATAACGAATTTTATTGCCAACTGAACAGGTATTAGCGTTGCAATGGATGGGAGGATCTGGGCATTTTGGGCTTGGTAACAGCAACACTCTCGCTACTGTTGATGTAGCTGGTGCTTATATTGTGCGTCTCTTTCTCCTTTCTTTCGTTCTAACAACAAAAATAGAGAAATACCCCATTGCATTTTCCTTTATTGTCGAATTTATCATGTGCTAATTTACAAACTAATTGTTATATTTCTTGATACAATCCTAATGAATATCTATGTGAGCACTTATTCAGTCAATAGTAGCAGTCATTCGCTAATGAGGTGGTTTGTTTGTGGAAAGCAGGGCTTGTCGTCTCATTCCACGATCTTATCTGGGCTCCTAGCATTTATTATTACTTATGCATCGCCATTCCTATTCCTTTTAGGAATGATGTTGCTACAAAGTCCAGTACCAAAGAGCATTGAGGCCCATACTTTTCAAGGGCTTGGCCCTTCATCTTGGTTACTGGAAATACTTGCAGTGCCATGCATTGTCCCTGTGGCTTTGAATGGTATTATAATGGTGGCATTCACAGCTATCCTCACAGTTATGCAGGATCACTTATTTGTGTGGAGCGTTTTTTCCCCCAAGTATGAACTTCCCCTCTTTCTCAACGTTTCGGTCGTTTTGTCTCATACAATGTGCTGCATTCTATGTGAGTTTGAATGTGACATGTGTGGTGTTGCAGGTATTTATATGTTTGTGCAGCAACTGTTTGCACTGCTATTGGTGCATTTGTATACGCTTCAACCTCAATTTATTACAATTTTATTATTTCGCGGCGGTCGCATCACTTGGAGCTCAAGAAAACTAAATTTCAATCCAGTAAAAAGACTTTGTGACAAAAGATTTGTGAGCTCAGTCAAGCATCCAAATTGTGTCTATTCTTTTTTCATCAACCTTGAAGCAGTGTTCTATTCGATTTTGAATACATTCAAAAGATCATTGTTGTTTGTTAATGAATTTCGAATCTAGTTTTTTTAATTAATTTTTACTTAGTTCAGTAAATGTTTTAAACCGAAATGAAATACTAATTCATTGAATTTCAAAAGTATGATGGAAATGTGTTTTATGTCCTGTTACATGATACAATCAAATTTTATTAGTATATCCACTTGTAATACTTTTGCAATTAGATACTTCAATAGATAATGTGTAATATAAGAAATACAAAACTAACAGGTTATCTTTTTATTTTTCCATTAAATTCTTGTTTGTATCTTGTTTTGTCAACACAAAAAAAATAATTGAATTGAAACATATTGTTATCTGGAAAGGATGGTTGTCATTTTACTGTGGAAAGATTACAAGTCAAAAGTTTCATTTGGTCACCTCAGGAAATATGATTTTTTAATTGAAACACAATTTTCTTATTGTGTTTAAAAGTTGTTTTCTTTTTTCTTTAAAAAACAAATTGTAAAAATTGTTTCATTTTAAACTCTAATTGATGTTATGTTTTTATTAAATGAGCAAGTGTAAAAGAAAATTCAAAAACTATGTATGAAAAACTTATAAATTAAAAAATATATCTAAATTAATTCTGTAAAGTTTATAAGAGTTTAATAATCTATATCAGAAAAAATAAATAAAATAAAAAATAAAAATAAAAATCTATCAAAATCTAAAGATTTTAAAATTTGTTTAATTTAAAAAAAAGAAGATTATATTGGAACTAAATCAAATACATTCAAATTAAAACAAATAATTTTGCATCATATTATAAGTGTGAAAATAATATTTCTTTAAGTATAATTTTACTATAAAAGTACCACATCATAAAGAATTATTTATGTAGCTTTTTTAGTATATAAATTAAAATATTTTGTACATTTCTTAATTATATCTTAAGATACTTGATTTTTAAAATTTTATGAAATAATTTATAGTTTACAAGATTTTAAAGTAGTTTTAAATTGATATAAGCATTATAAAATAATTATAGGGATTTTTAGAATTTATTTAGAATTTATTAAAATTTTTATAGTCATTTTTAGAGCGTATTTTGAAGACTTTGGTAAAAGTGATTTTATCACCTTGAGAGGCTATCATGAAGAATTTGAGTAGGATTAGAAGGCCTTTGAAAGTTCTTTAGTTGATTAAGTGATTTTGAATACCATGGTGAGGTCAATAGTACAAAAAAAAAGTGGTTTTATTAGTAGAAAATAGGAGGACCACTAGTTAGTACAGTAGTTGTAAGTAGGGATGTGCACAAGTTCCATATAATGTGTAGCACCTAGGATAGTGGTAAGAGTGTAAGACTAAGGCCTCATAGCCTCTCTAGCACACCCATTTTATACTACTTTTGAGCCTTGGTACATCTCAAATCCTTGACATCTTAAGCAAGTTGTTTTTGTGATAAACCAAATTTATTTAACTTTTCTATCTTTAAACCTTCATGATTTATTCATAGTAATTTATATTTATATATTTTCCATGTTATTAATAAAAATAATGGTTATATATATATATATATATATGTATATTTTTTAAAACTTTTTTTTGAGTAATTTTGTAGTGAACAAATTGTGATTAGATTTTGGAAGGTCAAATTGTTTGATTGTAGTTCTTTAATTTGTTTTGTATTTGTTTTGTTTTTTTTTGTTTTCTTTTTGTTTCTTATTAATTGCATTTTACATTATACCACTAATGATAAAAAATTCTTAATTGAACCTATCTATAATTTGTATTAAAGGATAAATTTTGCACTCAAATTATGTATGAAAAGATTAGAATTCATAAATGTAAAGGTTACAAATACAATATAATTATAATTCAGAATAAGATTAAAATGTTTAGTGTTTGACTTCTTGATCTCTACAATAGTATCTACTTTGTATATTTAATTTTAAAAATTATTTAGAAAATCTAAAACTATATGTGTGTGTATATATATATATATATATATATATATATATATTTAAATATGTATATATATTTTATATGGAATTAATATAAATATTATATTATATTACTTACAAAACATCACTAATATATATATATAATTTATTTTTTCAAAATAAAATATATACAAATATTTAAATTATTATTATGCTTAAAAATTAAATAATTTTGCTATAGAATCTAAATATTAACATAAGAAGGGGCACACAACTAAATACCATTAATATAATAAATAAATAAATAAATAAATTTTATAAAATAATTAAAAAATAATAATTTAAATATAAATTATATTTATTTTTTTAGATATTTATAATAACTATGATATTTAAGGATTTCAGCCAATATCTACATTATTTACAATCCAATCAATTCAACACGACTGGAAGGTTTAAGACTAGGTGGATAAAAAAAATGGAATGGCAAGTAATTGGCAATCTTAATTTTTTTCATGTTTCTCTCACCTATCTCATTTTAAATCTTAATGTTAGATACAAACAAGAGCAAGACAACCATTTCCAACATCTTTGAATGGATATGATATAATTAAAGCAGAGAACAAGATTTTAAGATCTTCTCCAAGTCTTTAGTTGCCGCTCTTGCTATTTTTCATGTTGCTTATACTCTTCTATGCTACTTTTGCTATTTTTTGCTATTTTTCATTGATTAAGTTGGATTCACAATCTTCAAAATTTTTAGTAGCCAAAAAACAATAGAATCTTGGTCTTGTGCACTACTATGGTAGATGAGACAATTCAATTCTCACATAGTTGATGGGTTTGATGATGGAGTTTAACAATGTGTCTAAGTGAAGAAGTCTATTTTAATTTAGCAAGAATGAGGCACCATCTTTTGTATGGATATGTGAAGTAATGTTGCACAAGATCCTACTAATGAAAAACTTGTTTAAATCATCTAAGTAGATATTATTGTGAGCGCATACAATTGAGCAAGTAGAACTAAGTGTAGATGTGTGCTATGTGGTTCATATAGCTCAGTAAGTAGAAACAATCCTTCTTTGAATGGAATTTTGATTTTCAATGTTGGACTCTTGAAAAGAAAAAATTTGTAAATTTGAAGAGTTATGTCAATAAAATATTTTTTTTATTATAGCTGCTAGTTTTGCTACTCTTAGTCATATAAGATCATTTTTGTGAAACATTTTTTATATCTAACTCAAGCTATTTGAAATAAATAACTTGTAAGAATTAATCCAAAAAATCAAGATTGACAATATATACAAAGGAGTTACTTTAAGGCCTAAAACTCCTATTGAAGAAGTTTTCCTTCAAATAAGCTAAACTAAATAATAATATTTGTACTATAGATTACTTTTTAGTTTGTTTATGAACCTACCAATCAAATGTTTGATTTAGAAGAAAGCTTTTAGATGCCAACTATATATGTATACGTTTTATTTCATAAGACTAGGTCTTATTTAAAAGAAAGTTTGTCTCTTTTTGAAATGATTGTTTTAAAAATACTATGTATTATATAGGTAATTATTATATAATACATCAATATGAATTGTATTGATTTTATTTGTAAATCTTATGATTTACTATTATTTTCTTAAAATAGATTTAGCTATCAAAAGTGGCAAGTTTAGAAAGAAATTAGCTATAAAAATTATTGACCATCAAAACTTTCCTATGATGCAATATCATCTAAATTTAATATTGATAAAGTCCAAATGTGATTATAAATATACTTAAATATGTACTCCTGTTCATATATAAGGATATTATAATTAATTGAAATTACTCAAACAAAAGATTGAAAGCATATATTTACACCTTCATAACAACATTCTTGAAAAAACTCATGTTGTGATAGTGGCATATAAACAAATGCTTAAAGCTCTCTTGTGCCTTATTTGATTTAATTGTATTATCAACAAAAAGAAAAAATAAGAAAATTTGCATATCTTAAAGATCTTTTGTAGAAACTTTGACATACAACTTCAAAATGGAGTGGTGTTCTTTGACACATGATGTAGTCATACCTCTAAAATAGAGAATAATATTTATTCAAAATTTGACAAATTGTTCATTATGAAAAATTTAGATTTTTTTTTGAAGATATGCAATAATTTTATTTATAAAAGTAAAAATAAACATAATATAAAAGTTCATTCATTGTATATTGAAAACCTCCTCCTTTAAAGAATTCATAATTATTCTCCATTTTAATAGAAAGATAGATCAATCACCATCGTTTTGGATGGAAAATATTTCTTGTAGATAGTCAATATGTTTTTTTATTTTATTTATTTATGTATTTTTAATATGCCAAATCTAATGTAAATCTTAGAAATTAAAAAAATTTATATATATCTTTAATAACATTTATGAATGCCAAGTCCTTATTAGCACCTATATTGATGGACTATAATGCTCTATACAATAGAACAACTTGCATCAATGCCAAATATAAGAATAATTAAGTTTCTTCTTAGAAAAATGCTACTACAATTGTGAAGGATGTATTAAAACTTATTACACCCATCACATATAATATGGACATTTTAAATCTATTTATTTTGTATGTATAATCCATAATTATATTATTTGGATACCTTTTTGGAAGTTGTATATATTTATGATAAAAAAATAGATAATTGGCTTTATTTAATTTATTATATTTATATTTGTCAAAGACAATAATATGATGAAAGCAAATAACTAAGTGAGACTTTTTTTAAAGAAGTATGACAAAATAGAAGTAAGAAAACATATATATTAAAAGAAAAGTGGAAGGATTATTGCCAAAAGATAAAAGAATTAAAGATTCTTGAATCTAGACTAGAGTAAGAAAGGAATTGATAAGAGTGAAAAAGACTTCAGACTTACCTCTATATATACTGTCCACCTAAGAGTTATGTGAAAACATTCTATAGGACCTTCAATATGTGTTGACTTTGTAAGCCATATGTTTTAACTTGCAAGGCAAGTTTTCTATGTGTATACTACATAATTAGCTTATTCCACAAGCTATCCACATGTGTGACATGTGGCTAATTTGTTGACAAAGTTTTTAATCTAAAAATCAATTATAAATATGTATAAAGTCAAAATTGTATCTATACAACTTCTAAGAAGCTTTTCTAGAAGATATTATGAAATTAATCTATTTTTATTTATTTTTACTTAC